TGGAATTTCTCAGTCATATGGAACCTCTGTGCTTCACCTTTTTGAGGAAATGTCCAAAGCAGCTGCACTATTTTACAGTCCTTTCAGCCACAGATGAGGATGCCAACAAGCCTGGCTCTTCTAAACCCTCATCTCAGAAGGCTCCCAACCCTACTCAGAACCTTCTGCCAACATCTCCTTGCCAGAACTGGGTCACATCGCCACACCTACCTCCAGCAGGGTTTGGGGAGGTGAGTATTCTCACCTTGGAACTGCTACGGTGGAGAAGAAAGAGTTTTCATGCTGTGTCTGCTGAGGAAGTAATCCTGGCCATCTTTTCTGATGGAAGCCTTCTCTTCAAAACCCTGCTGTACATGGTGGCCCACGCCTGTAGTCCTAGCTTCTAGGGAGACTGACACAGAGGATCGCTGGGGCCCAGGAGTTTGAGGCCAGCCTAGGCAACACATAAAGAAACCCCATCTCAAACACAAAGTAAACCAGAAAAACAAAGCCAAACAAAAAATCCTGATGAGAGACATTTCTTGAACACTGCCAAGACAACTTGGAGCCCCCACTGCACATACGTAAGGTTCTTTTTGTTTGTGCTTCCTATATACTGAGTAACAGATCTAATATTTTCCCTTCAGAAATAATCAGACAAAAGGAATATGGGAATGGAAATGAAATGGAGTCATTAATAATGTAAATGTAATGTTACAGCTGTTATTGCTGAGCTCACAGGAGGGTTCAGTAATTGTCTCTCTCTCTCTCTCTCTCTCTCTCTCTCTGTCTTCCACCCCCACCCTGCACTTTCCCTTCTTTCCCTTCTTTTCTCTGGAACAGCAAGGAGAACACGTTGTGTTTCCCTGTTTAACTGTACCTTTCTAGGACACCAAGGATGGGGCTGCCTGACTGACTTTGGTCCACACTTGCTATAACTTAAACTTATTCAAGAATTAGTGATTTTTTTTTCCTGTAGAAGAGAGAGAAGACAAGTGGTGATGAAAGATACCACTCACAGGCCTCACCACTGGATTATAAGCATGCTGGGTGCTTAATGAGTTGCTGAATAATATAACACTTCTTTAGTTCTTTGGCTGCCTCATGATTAAATGCCATAAATATTCATGATTTATTACTGATGCTTTGGATAGGCTAGGCTTTGGAAGGCTCATGGATCACAGTAATTCTAAAGGAAAATAAGAAAATAAAACTATATAAAGCTGCTTATTTATAACGCTGCTCAAACGGGTTATGTAATTTGTCAGAAGCTCATGGAGGTAAAGCAATCCAGAGGCAATGTCATTTAAACACTTTTATCATTGATTATACATTTCTCATGAGAATATATTTGTAGTAAATAGGAGTTCAAGCTATCACTTTCTGCTAACAGCTCACTCACCTTTGAAGATTTCTGTTGAGCTGCGAAATCAAAGAGCTCCGTGTTCTGTGTACTGCAACAGACGTCCTGCTGTACGTGCCACCCAGGGACCAATACAGTGCTCTTTCCCCCAATCACAATACTTGTGTCTGGGAACCAGGGCTGAAAGTGTCTGCAGTACGAACTGTGGCTGCGTTGAATGACCCACTTGCAAAACTTTCCTCCCTATTACTTTGGTTCTACTGGGTTAGACCTTTAGTAAAACGAGTGGAACACTTGTGCGAGGGGCATGACAGTACTAGAGGCAGCTGAAGTGTGGGTTGCTAATTCAGATAATTGGATCTGATTCCTAATGCCATCAAGCTGTGTGGCCTTTAGCAAGTTTCTTTCTCTGAGCTTCAATTCCATCATGGAGTTACCTGAGGATTACGTGCATTTAATGCACACGAAGCACTTGCTAACAGCCCAAGTGCTTAATTAAGTGTTAGATTTTATCTCCATGAAATCATAAGCAAGTTTTTTGACTTACACAGTATCTTAGAACAGGAGGGACATCTCTGAGTAGTGTACTGCACTACAGCTTGTTGCTCAGACACAAGAAAAACTGAGCATGCACAGAAAAGCAGAAGCATTCATTTTCCCCCTGAAACTGATCTTGCACTCTTATATATAGAGATGGAGAACAAAATAATTGAGTTGGGCATTTTTATGCCTCTCATTGCATTTTTTTCATACACATCCTTTCAGGTCATTATTATTTTCATCATTTTGCTGGTTAGGAAATCAAGATCTTGAGAGATGACACGGTCTGTCAAGAGCACAAAAATCCTAAGTAGTAGAGGCTTCCAACCAATCAATATACACATGAAGCAATAGTAGGAATATGTTTTTGCTTTGTTTTCTTGTTATAAGAAGTGAAAAGGCAGGTTTGGGACCAGGAGAGGGGAGAAATACAAAAAGTACCTTCCTGTAGTTCTCTGTGAAGCAAAAGGACAAGTTCTCCTTGCAAAAGGTCAGCCCAGCCCTTCTGTCATGCAGTTAACCCAGGCTGTGATTGCAAAATGGATCTCCTTTTTCCTAGGCTTCCAAACTGGACTATAAAATATAAAATTCCACTGAGTGTTTTGACCCACAAAAGCAGGACACTCAAACAAAATTATAGTTTCTTTCTAACTTAAAGGTATAGTTTGACCAGAATCTAAGAAACCTACACATTACAGACTACAGAGGTTGTACTACTGTTCACACCATTCAAGTGGAGGATAAAAATGTGCTAATGCTAATGTAGAACATGGAAGGCTGCTCCAAATTTGTGACTGACAGCTCAGTGTTCTCAAGCAGACAATGAAATCTCTCCTGCATGCAGAGCTACCTTATACACCAAGACTGAGGTCATATATTCATGTCACTGAGGGAGTTTCATCCATTTCCTTATTTGAAAAAAAGATTCTTAATAACACTCACTCCCATATTTCCCTAGTTTTGCTTTAGAGAAGGAGAATTAGGCACTCCTGTCACATACCAACAAGAGAACATTTATAATACACAGGAGAGTAAAACCTTTCAGGACTGAATAGAAAGTCACTCATTCTCCCTGAACCACAAAGTCCTGAGTGGAGGAAACAGAAAAAAGCCAGCAAAGACGCCCTGGCTGGCTACTGCATGCCAAAAGGTCCCCCAAGGGAGGGTTGTGATTATTCCAGTAGGTAAAGTCTATGTGATATAGTTGCAGTGAATAGCATTTAAATATTTCATATCTATCAGACCTACTACTAGATACTGTATCTGCTTTATTCCTGCAAACAGTACCATGAGATAGGCAATAGTATCCTCCGATTAGAAATGTGGAGGGCTGGGGGTGTAGCTTAGTGGTAGAGTGCTTGCCTAACATGCTCAAGGTGCTGGGCTTCTAGATCCTGGCAATAAAAAAGAATGTAGAAACAGGAAACTGAGGTTTCGAGAAGATATGGAAGTCCCCACCCTTCAGGTTGAACAGATGCTAAATGGCACGGCAGGAACTCAGACTTACGGCTGTTGTCCAAACTGATGCTTTTCAGTTTTCTAGAACCTCTCTTTTTTTGGAATGTGACCCCACTTTTATCATTATTAGGAGTATATCATTTAACTTTCGCTCCTTACCTAATTATATTTATCATCTGCAGGTCAGAAATGTGGGTGTGGCTTAGCTGGGGGCTGCCTCAGGATCTCTCCCCAGGCTGTAGTGAAGGTGTGGACCAGGGTTGGGATCTCATCGAAGGCTTCACTGGGAATGATCTGCCCCCAGCTTCTTGCAGGTGCTGATGGAGGGCCTCAGCTCCTGCTGTCTATCACCCCCAGGATACCCTCAGTTCTTTGCTCTGTGGGCCTCTCCCCACGGCAGCTTCTTTCATCAAAGCCGGCAAGGGAGAGATTCAAAGGAAATAGTCTGCTAGCGAGATGGAAGCTACAATTTTATATAACACAGCCCTGATAGTGACAGGCCAGTATCTTTACTGTGTTCTGTTGCTTAGAAGCAAGTCATACGACCTGCCCACACTGAAGGGGAGGGGTTTCTACCAGGAGGTGAATCACAGAAGGTGAGGGGCATCTTAGAGTCTATCTGCCACACAGAATTGATGCCAAATGTTCCATATTTTTCTTTATATTTCTACCAACTCCATAGTCTCGTCATAAAGCTCCTCATCCAGGACAAGTGAAAGGCTTATAATTATTTTTTAAATATTAAAAAATCTCAACTTGGTGTTTATCTCATATTGGTTTTAAAAAATATGTTATTCTTTATCATTTCCTAAGACTTGGTCCTTAATTCTTGTGAGTCGCATTATCATCTTATTTCTGGAAATAAGCTCATTGCAAAGAGGACCCCAGGGAAGTGTGCATTTAATGGGGTTAGCAGGGCCATGAAATAAACATATGGCATCAGTTCCAAACCCTGGGCATGCGTGCTGGTGGCCTTCCAGCCAAGGCTCTTCTGGGTCAAACAGGGTTTTCCCCTCAGGGAAACACAGCAAGAAGCCCTGCAGAAACTCTAACACCTGGGTTCTGGAAACAGAAAACAGAGTACTCGCAATGAGACAATGGTCAGAGAAATGATCATCTTCTTTGCTTTTTCGTGCCTCCAACTCAATGTACCAGTGGCATGTAGCCTGCCTGAATTATAGCAGCTTAAAAAAATCTTTTCCTCACTATCTCCACATACATATGTCTCTGTGTATATATATATATATGTATGCATGACACCCAAAATTTAGCACCATGAATTCTCACTGCTGCTGTAAAACTGTGTTCCTTCTCAACAGTCCTGACGTACACTGCATCAAAAAGAGATTTTGGAAGACTTCCAGAGCCCAGTTACGCTAGGGGGTGCAAATCCACCCATCTTCCATCTCCCTATAATTTCTTCAATAACTTCAGCAAAGAGTGACATTGGTTTACCAAGGAAAAGCTAACAGATTTTTTTCTATAAATAACTGGTTGGCAGTGCTGTGGTGACAATTTATATAATAGAGCTCATGCTTAAATAATAAGGTAACAACTTTGGACTGTGAATTTTAAAATGGTTTATTGAAATCTAGACTGATTAACAGGCAAGATTCTTCTAATTATTTTAATTATAGGCTCTTAATGACAAGAAGCTGGAGAAATAAAAACATGTTAAAATTACATTTTTAATGAAGTGGCACTTGGAAGCCCGGACTTCTCCAAAGCAAGTAGTGGTGATCTGCTGTTACCTGGAAACAACCCATGTGTACCCAGAGGTGAGGAAGATGTTTTCTGGGGAGTCAGAATTATTTACGACCTGACTGCTCTGTAAGGCAGGGAGGATAAAAACGACTTGTAGTGTTGTGAAATGAGCATTCGCCTCAGAGTCACAGAGGCTGACTCTGTTACACTGCCCGGCTCAGTGTCGGCTTCAGCTTTTTAGCTTCTGTTTTTTACATGTAGGATGTGGAAGATGAAGTTGATTTGCTCTAAACTCCTCCTTTAACTTTATAATTCCATAATTCTATTAGGAAGCATGACAAACCTTTAAGGAATACAGATTGAGCATATGTTATTAAATATTAATTCACATACACACATAATCATGGCAGCTTTCAGGACATAGGACTTTTCATGGAATTTGGCAAAATTAAATCGGACAGGCACCCATGTGCCTGACACTGTTCTAAATACCAGGCGCATAGGGATGGATAAAATTGCGAGGTGGAAGAAAGGTAGTATGCATCCTTTCACCTGTTCAGTCATTTATGTCCTAACCAAATACTTACTTGCTTATTACAGGGAGGGCTTCACTGATCAGGTAACACAGGAAGAGAGATCTGAAGAGAGCGAGAGAGTGAGTCATACAGATGACCTTGGAGAAAAGCATTTTGACAAAGAGAGGAAGTCAAAGCTCTGAGGTAGGAGGGGCTTGCTTCGTTCAAGAATTAGCAAGGGGGCCAGGAGAGCTAAAGCAAAGTGAACAAGGAGGAAAGCCGTAGGAGACGGAGTCATGGAGATAGCAAGATCTGGGTCATAACTAAAAGAAAAAGATCTTTTCATTTTCAGGACAAGTTGTGCGCCCTTCTGTCATCAAGTCCAGAAAATTCTCAGCGATCATCTGTACCCATATGTCTTCTCTGTCACTCTCTTATTCCTCTTTTATAGGAATTCCTATTAGAGTTACAATGGATCTACTAAACAGATGAGTTGTTCTGTTTTCTATGTTTTCTGACTGACTTATCATAGTTTGAACCTCTATCATTCTATGCTATGTTCTGGGTGAGTTTCTCAGTATCGCTTTCTAATTCTTTAATTGTCTGTTCCAATATGGCCAGTCTAGAGTTTATCCTATTTGTTATGATTCTTATTTCAATGATTACATTTTTTCTTTCCAGAATTTCCAATTGTTTTTTTATCCACTTGTTCTTGTTTAATCTGATTATTTTGTGCCAGAATTTCTTATCTGTTCCTTCTCTTCTTCCTTCCTTCTTTCCTTCCTTCCTTCCTTCCTCCCTTCCTTCCAGTACTGAGGACTGAACCTAGGACCTTCACACTAAGCAATATCCCAAACCCTTTTTTATTTTGAGACAGGGTCTCACTTGGTTGCTAAGTTGCCCTGGCGGGCTCAAACTTGTGATCTTCCAGCCTCACTCTCCCAGAGTTCTGAGATTACAGGCATGTGCTACCATGCCCAGCTTTTCTTGTTCTTTTTCATGGACAGCTAGTCTTTTCCTTCATCTCTCTAAGTATCACTGTCATACCCATTTTATATCTATTTATTAATTTCATTTCTTCTGGAGTAAATGTATCTCCTAGTAGTTTGTGTTTTGTCTCAGTTTCCTCTGTGGGTTTTGGAGTTTGGGGTGGAAGGCTCATTGTGATGGGAAGTTTCATTGTTTCCTCTCACTTTGTTCCTCTCAACGCTGACCACTTTGTGGTTGCTTTATCCTGGCCTCTTAGGGCCTGATATATAGATCTCAGTCTCTTCCACACCTAGCCTCAGCAGCTCCTGCCTATGAAATTAAAAAAAATGGCAGACCACTTTCCCCCTTTGGAGATACCTTGCTGCATGTTCTTCATGCTTCAGGTTCAACCTCCTTCAGGTAGGAGGTCCACTGCAACATCCTTCAGGTAGGAGGTCCACTGCACCAGCCTCGCTCGGTGATCCACTTCTCTCTACCCTGCCCTACGTGTAGGACACATTGGTCCCTGTTACAAAATCAACCGTTACCAGTTCACAGCCTGTGTCTGCATTTACACACCTAGCAGCTCATGACTTCAATCTTGCTCATGGTACTGTATTGGACTTTTGCTTTGCTTCTGGTCCATAAGATTTATTTTATTTGTGAGCATGGCTGTTTGTGTTTGGGGGTTTTTAAACAATACTTTTATCTATCATCATTATGTGGTTGGACATATATGAGATGGGATGTAGACATAAAGGTGTGAATTTATATGTCATCTTTAGAATCCCTTCAGGAGGAATCTAAGACACAAGAATAGGCCTTAAAGAACTTGTGGGTGCTAAATAGGCTGGGAGAAAGTATAATCCTGGAACAGGTCAGAATTACATCGGAGATGCGCAGGGAAACGACAGGCATTCATCTGGCAAGAGAGAAAAATGGCGACCAGGGCAAAGCGGATGCCAAAGCCAGGTTCGCCCCTCCCTGCACACATGTCTGTAAGAGGCTGTACTTCCCCTCTTGTTCAGCCTCATTTCTTTGAAACTACTCATGGGCCAGGGAGATAGCTCAGTGGCACAAGCACTTGCCTGGCAAGCACAAGGTCCTGAGTTCGATTCCTGGTACCAAAAAACAAAACAAAACAAAACGTCAGAGCCATGAACCTGCTGTTTGCCCCCATGTCCTTTCCACCTTGTCCGGGTCCTGGCACAGAGGCGGCACTCGACAAATACGTGTGGAATAAATGATTAAATATCGAACAAGCTTAAGTGTTAAAAAAAATTGATCTCGTGTAGTTTCATTCCACCAGCTCTCTTAGAGTTCTCAGCTTATCTTCAGCTGATCAAAAACCCAGGTCCTACCATTCCTTTCCATAAATGCTGCAGAGTCTGTCAGCCATTCTCAAAACTGTTCCACAGATGTTCCACTAGAACGTCCCCAGCAGCTGCACAGGCACAATATACAGCTATTTTTTTAATTTTTCAATTTTAATTTTTTATTAGTACATGTTTGCAGTACACAGTGATTATGCTCATCATGGGGAGTTGGTACATGTACATAACACATCTTAATGCTCTTCCTTTTCCCCTCTCCTCCTTCTCCCTCCTTCATCCTTTGGTCCAGCTGCTTATTTTCAATTTTCACTGGATAAAACTCTCTGTGGTACACCCCCATCCTTACCTTGGGCAGCACCACACTGTCCTGTCCTGGAGGGCCTGTGACGGCTACTCGGCTGGACAGTTGAAGACAGACATACCAGCTGCAAGCATTTTGGCCAAGACCCTGAACAGGGAGTGACCTAACAAAAACTGTGTTTTAGAAAATCAGATCTGAATGTGAGAATCAGGAAAACAAGAACAAATGCCAGACTGGAAGCAGGGCAAAGTCTTGGAGACAACTGCACCTAACTCATCTTCACAGATTTGTCAGGTACCTTTTTGCCCTGCAAGGCATTTTCATTTTCCTGACCTACAGATCTCCTTAGTGCTGAGCTGTGCTGCTGAGGACATCAGCTGCTCTTGCCAGGATAAGACTCTTTGTACAGTCATATCAGATGCTCTGGGCCTAGTTTCTGTCTAGGAAATCGATGCATGTGGTGAGTAAATCTCCCCAAATGGCCCCCTCCCTACTATCCCCTTTATTTTATTCTTTCCCTGCATTCCCTGTGACTTCTTGAGGGAGCCCTGTGACACTGACTGTATCACCGGCTGTCCTCCACACATGCATCAATTGTTCTATCTGTTCTGTCCCCTTCTTGTCCCAGTGAGGGGATGTTCAGTTCTTTCTGCCCATTGACTCTGTCCCTTGTTGTTGAGGACCATGTTTTGCACCCTATGCCTATTTGTGATCTGGACAAAAATGGGGGAATGGGGACTTTTTAGATGCCAGTTTTGGAAAAGCTGGAGTAGTAAGCAAGTTATCCATATAGGCCTCAGACAGAGGCCTATCGCAATCCTGGATGCAAGGAGATGATTGGAGACTGTAAATGATGATTCAGAAAGCCATTTATCCAAAGAGGGGCACATGCATTGTAGCTCATAGGTGACCTGATGCGTTGTAGCTCCAAAACTCCCTACTGTCTGAGGCCCAGGCTGGTCATAAAAATGAGAGCAAGGGTTTAGCTTATAGGTACAGATCCAAATGGCCTAGCTATTTACACAGATACTGATGGCAGAGTTAGGCGCAGACTATAGAGGGAGGGCCTTGCGCACAACAGTGTGTGTTCTATGTGTAATAGAGCAGTGTAACTCATACGGAGTGAGTTATTTTTATATATCAAACTGGTACAGGAACAAAGATTGTGACTCACAGTCTAAAGATTCTTTCTCTACAGGTGCTTTCTTATTCTAAAATTGTCCTGTAGTACTTGTGTCCTTTTTTCAGCCACCTGAATTGCTGAGGGCTTTTTTTTGCTAGGGGTTGGGGATAATATGGGGCACCTTTGAAGGCTGTAGGCAACAAAGGACTCACATAAAAGGATGGCTTTTTAGCTGGGAGTAGTGGTGCACACCTGCGATCCCAGCACTCTGGGAAACCAAGACAGGAGAATCGCAAGTTTGAACCCAGTCTGGGCAACTTAGTAAGATCCTATCTCAAAATTTAAAAAAAAAAAAAAAAAAAAAAAGATTTTTTTTTTTTTTTAAAGAAGGCTGGGGATATATCTCAGGGCAAAGTCCCTGGGTCCAATCCCCAGTATCACAGAAGAAAAAAAAAAAAAAAAAGACTTTTCTGTCCACAGCCGATCTAGGTAGAAGCCCCAGCTTCAGTACACACAAATTTTTGATTAGTTCCATTTTCCTTCCCAGGTTGCCTTACTTATTGCGCTGGTTCCTAAATGAAGTTTTGCCTTCTCTTCTTTCCACCTTCTCTTTCCTTATATTTTTAATTTCCACAGGGGAAAAAAGCCTATACTACTTGGAGGAGGTTGAGCGGAAAGGCTTGTCATCCCTGGACCTGGTCTGAGAGACCTACATCGGGGGTTCTACTTTTGCACAAGACACCTGACAAAGTCTTTTTTGTTGTTCTGCTATTTCCCAGCACATTAGCGGACCTTAGGAATTTTATCCCATTGAGGTAATTGACTCATCATGTGGTTCAAAACCCCACATTTCCCGAGTTGAAGATACAAGTCATTAAAAAGGCAGGAAGTTGGCTTCGGTACAAGAAACTTACAGTGATTTCATGTTCTTTAGACTTATCTCATCATGAACTCTGAGTCCAAAGTCACTTCCACTCTTCCTGGCTTTGTGTTTCACCTGCCTACTTCATTTTCCTTCAAGTCTGCCTTAGCTGGTTGTGTCACACATTCATATAGAAAATTTTCCCCTTGCAATTGGCTTATAGGGCTGAAAGAGAGATGAACATGTCTGCCTCTGCCTTCTTCCCCACCTCCTCCTCCCGCTTCCACCCTCTGCCCCTCCTCCTGGGTTAGTACTGTCTTCTGTACACATGCAAGCTATTTCACGAACTGCTATTTTTTTTTATATAAACCAAAATTGTTTGGTTGCCTTAGAAAGGGTCAGAGAACTTTTAAAAAAATGATTCATTGATTCCTCTTCAGCCATTTTCTCCTACAAGTATGCCAGGTCTTGTGCTTGATACAGGGATTGTTTCTAAACATCCAGAAATAAATTCATTCCTCTTTGAAGACTTGCATAACTCAGGCTGAAATTTTTGTCTCCTGTACTAACTTTCCCTGTGTGGCACACAGCAGCCATTCACGATACCTGTAATTAATTAACAACTGCCACAACAGAACACTTTATTGGAAACCTGGTAACTGGGACAAGCGGTATGTGGAAAATTCCCACAATAGTACCTGGGCGAGCACAGCTTGGAGCAGGGAAGCATGTGAGTTTTCCGTAGAGGGTGTTTTTGTGTAACTAAATTGTCCCCACCGGCTCTCTGAAGCTGTCATTACTTCTCTGCTCACTTCTGTTCCTTGAAATCACTGTTGAGAAATGTTCTTTTGACTTAGAGCGTGGAGCGGGCCTCTCTGCTCTTATCATCTTTCTTCCCTTCAGCAGTCTGTAAACAGTACCGCCCTACCCAGCCCTGAGGCTCTTGTGCCTTTCGGGAGTTCTCCTACCTCTGATTACCCTGAGGCCCTCTTTCTTTACCCTTGTGCCCCAGCACAAAGACCTCTAGAAGAGGCTTGTGTGGATTTGTGCCCTGTGAGTTTGCTTTGCTCTTCAGGAGCTTTGACAAGGCTGGTCAAGTGGCTAAGGAGGCCAAGGGGACTTCCCTGCACTGATTTCTTCCCTCTGAAGGGTATCGGCGCTACAGCTTGCCCTCCCCCCCGCCCCCCCACCGTTTTCTTGAGCCATCCTCTTCCCCCTGACACTGATGCAATCTTGTGCCTCATTCCACAAGCTACCTGTGCCTCCCAAAATATACACAGGGACAATTTCAACTCAAGCTGAATATCAGCTCCTATGACAGCCAGGCTCTGTTTTAGGTGCTGAGGACACAAAGTTGAACTGGATTCAGACCTTACAACATACACACACAGAGACCCAACAGCTACTTTCCCTCATTGCTCAGGACCATGGCATGCACACAGAGGCTGTGGGATTATACAGGAATACAGCCCACAGAAAGAAAATATATTTTGCAGAGCAAACCAATACTGTACATGTACACATTGCAAGTTTACTTTTACTACACACAATTCACTCTGATATTTTCTACTTTATCCTCTCCTGTTTCTTTCTTTCCATTTCAACTTTTACAAATGCTAGGCATGACTCTCTATAAACTTATCATATGACTCAATCTATCATGATTCAAAGTTCAGAACTACTCTAACGGGTGACATAAGTTAAGGAGAGAAAACAGAGTCAACTCAGTTTGAGGGAGAATGAGAGCAGAGGAAACCAGGAACTGATCAAGAAGGAGAGAACCAGGCACAGGGTTCATGATACAGTTGGTGAGCCAGGCAAGGGTGCTAAGAACCTGTTTTTACAATAGTGACTGCCCATCACTGGAGTGCACCGGTCAACCTAAAGGTGTGGAGCTCACTGAGTTAAGGAGTTCTAGCTTCTTACAGAAGCAATTAGAAGCATTTAAGAGTTTTAAGTAAATACATCAGCTAGCTATTGCTGAGTAACAAACTACCCCAAATGCAGAGACTTAAACTTTGATTTTTTTGCAAATCCACTGGTTGGCTAGGCAGCACTTCTGCTCTGGGTTGTAGGCAGCTACCAGGTAGGCAAGGCAAAGACCTGGCTTGTTTAGGATGACCTTGACTAGGACAAGTTGACTGTCTTCTGTGTGTCTCTGACATACCACCAGCAGGCTAGTATGGAAATACTCTTATGGTACTAACAAAGATCCAAGAGAGGAAGAAATACACAGTTCTTTTTCAAGTCTCTGCTTGTGTCAAATTTGTTACTCCCTTGGGCAGAATAAATTACATGCCTGAGTCCAGGGATGGCGAACCTTTTAGAGCTTTCAGTAATAATGTGTCATAGGTTCACCACCACTGGCTAGAGTAAATACGGAAAGGGACTACTCAGGAGTATGAGTACCAAGAGGCATGAAAGATTGGGCCATGAATGTAATCAGTCTTCACTGTAGAGAAGAAATAAGTTCAGATGTATGTTTTAGGAAAATCACATTGGCTGCTTGGGACTGGAGGGAGGTGATATTGGAAGTAGAGGTAGGAGGAGGTTTTAAAAACCCAGAGGGGAGGGTGAGGGTCAGACTAAGGAACCAGGGCTGAGGATAAGGGGACTGCTGGATTTCTAGGGAATCAATAAATCACATTTTCTTTTCTTGTGACATCAGAACCAGCTGAGAGATAAATACATGGGTTAAACAGAGATAGCTGATTAGAGAATGAGGCTTTAAAGCTCCATCCAAAAGAGCTTTCTCTAACTCTGGACCTTCTTCTGCTTCCTCCTCTAGCCCAGGCCTTGGGACAGCCCTGCAGAATAGACTGTGCCACTCGGGACCATTACTTCCCCTGGTCTACAACAAAGAAGAAAGAAAAGAGAACAGAATCTTGTAGTCTGTCCATTCATTGGCTGCTCCCTACCAAGACAGTCTCTTGGCAAGTAGGTAAAGGGGGCAGGGAAAGGCTGGGAATGATTTCACTGGTACAGGAGTCATACACTTTTTGTTTGTTTTGTTTTTTTGTTTTGGTTTTTCTCTGGTACCAGGAACCGAACTCACGACCTTGCGCTTGCCAGGCAGGCGCTTTTGCAGCTGAGCTAAATCCCCAGCCCCTTCATACACTTTTTGTGTAAAGGCCCGGAGATCAACAGCTGAAACTTGTGGGCCACGGGGTCTCTGCAGCAACTACTCAGTTCTACCTTATCATGCAAGGGCATAGGCAGCACATACACGAGTGAATGTGGCCGTATTCCAATAAAACTTTATTGATGGACAGCAAAACATGAATTTTCATGTTTCATTAATATTCTTCTGATTTATTTTCAACCATTTACACAATTTTAAAAACAATTTGTGTCTCACAGGCTATATAAAAACAGGCGGTGTTTGGATTTGGTTTGCAGATCCCTGCTCTAGCAGAAGTTCTTCCACCTGAAAATATGAAGTCAGGAGACAGGAGTTGCTGTAGTGTAATTGTAACCTAATGAGAGTAATTTTTCAGACCAGTGTTGTTGCTGCATCACAGGAAATGATGTCTGGGATGAGAACTTCAAGTCAGGGGGTGGGGGAGGGGCTGGGAGATGGGCTGTTAACGCTTATTAGTGTCTCCTCTAATAGGTGCAATACACCTTCGTGGTATCAATCTGTTCCCAAACCATGTGAGGTAGTTTTTATGACTCCCAGTTCTCTAGGGAGGAAACAGAATTTCAGAAAGGTTAATTAACTTAACTTGCTTGAGGCCCCACAGTAAGTTGGGACACTTTGTTTTTAAATCTAATGTCTTACTCTCACCCCACCTCCCATTCACTGGGACTTTGTTCAAATGAAACTCCATGGTCTCCAACTGTAGCCCGGTCAGCAAACACCTTTCTAATGAACTTGGTCTTCACAGGACCTGTGTCCTAACCCAGAATGGCCAGACAATGGTCATCTTTCAGAACACTGGATCACCACAAAGCAAGGTCCTTCAGGACTCCAAACTGCCCCCTACCTTTCCAAGTATTAGACTTCTTTTCTTCAGAGATGATGGGGAAAAGACCCCCAAGGAGATGGAGTTCCCACTTTCTCCTTTTGTGCCTCCATATAGTACATTTTTTAAAAAATATTGAGGTGAAATTCACATATCATGACCTTAACCCATTTAAAATTGTAGTTTGCCGGGCATAGTGGTTCATGCTTGTAATCCCAGCACCTGGGAGGCTGAGGCAGAAGGATTGTTGCAAGTTTGAGACCAGCCTGGGATACAAAGTGAGCTCAAGGCCAGCCTACACTGCATAGCAAGACCCTGTCTCAAAAAGATCAAAACAAACAAACAAAAAAATTGTACAGTTCAGTAGATTCACCATGTTGCAGAATCATCATCTCTATCAAGTGCCAAATTTATAGCACATTTTGCCTGAGATGTTTATCTACCACACCAGACTGTTCGTGTCCTGAGGCCAACATCTGTGTCCATTTCATCCTGTAAGCATTCCCATAAGCATTCCTAAGATGTCCTGCAAATCCTACTTGAGTGGAATTCCAGATATCTTCTTCCGCATTTCTTCTTCTGAGTAGCACTTGAAAGTCTGGATTTTGGATCTGATTCGAGGCTTCTTCCTACCAGGTGCCTTCATTCTATCATTGAGTCAGAACAAGGAGCTTCCTCGTGCAACACGTTCTCTGTCCTATCTTCTCTGAAGACACTTCTTCATCTCACCGTACACTGCCTGTGTGGATATTAATTTGCATTGAGCTACAGTTAAATTTTAAGTGTGCCTCCAAGTTTATATTCTGTTTCCAAACGAACAACCACAAATCTGAATATTGAAGTTCATTAAATAATTAATTCTGCTAGGATTTCTTCTACTTGGAGAACAGCAAATTTCATAAATACCTAACTACGAGCTGAGAGGTTGGAAAATGAGGCAGATGTGTACAACTTCTGCATACAATTAGAAAAACAGCATATTTTTAAATTATAATTTATTAGTCAAGAGGTTTACAAGAAGAAGGGGAGGAGAAGGAGGAAAGCCTTACTTATTTTATACTTTTTAAAAATTGTCAGAAGCTAAGTAAATGTTTCAGTTATGGTTTTAGAACATTTTAGTCCCTAGAAATAGCTATAAATTAGGCCCGTTCACCACTGGAAACTCCATGTTTACTGCATTACAATTCTATACAATTTACACACTATGCAAATCATGCTCCACTGAATACTGTCTAATGTGTTTATTTTTCTTCAAAATTAGCTAAACACTGCCTTCTCTTCTGCTAAATCCATCTCCTCACAAAGGCAGGTGTAGGGACAGTTGTCTGACATGTGCTATTGCTTATTAGCTCCTCTTTGCCAAAATGTGTATGACTAGACAGTGGTAAAAAAATCTGTGGAGCTTCATTCCCCCAAATCTAATTTAAAATCTGGATGATGCTAGAGGTGTCCTCAAAGGAAGAATAAAGAATGGAGGCCAAGTTTTCCGGAGGGGGAGGCAGGGACTTGGGAATAGAGCAGAGAAGTACAGGGACTCCATTTAAAAAAATGTTTAAGAAAGGTTGATTTAATTCCAGAATTGCAGTTCTCGTCCCTCATCACGGTCTGGCCGTCATCTCTGCCTATGCACGTTATTGGGCTACGTCTGTTATTAAGATGCACAAGGCAGTCACTGCGAATCTCTGATCGTCAGTTATACTGCCTGATAGAAAGGTGCTGGGGTACACAGATACAGGAATTATTTATTTCTTTAAATCCATACAGGCTAGGCTCTCAGCGAAGGAACTCTGCCTTAGAGCTGGGGAAAGAGAGAAATAGGTTTGACTTCTTGAGCCCAATAGTCACAGAGATGTGAAAATGTTTTTATTTTACAGGAGCAGTCTTACTGGGACAGGGTCCCAGAGCTCAATTAGAAAGCAATGAACCGCAACATCAACAATTCTTATGCTGTAACAGCCACGGGGGCCATTTCTCTGGAAACCCCTGTTCGTGACTTTGAAGTCCAGGAATCTAGCAGAAGGTAACTGTTCCGAGAAGGAACAACTTGTAACAGGAGTATTTGTTTAGTGTTGGACCAGGGAGAGACATTATTTCATGGCCTCTATTCTTTTGTCTCGTGTGATGAAATAAGTAGTTTGACTTAGACAATAACAGGTCCTGTCCCAACCCTTCTAGTTTAGCTGTATGAGCTTGAATAAGTTAAGATTTCTGTGTACATGTACCAACTCCCCAAGAGGAATATAAACATTATGTACTGCAAACATGTACTAATAAAAAAGCACTAATAAAAAATCCCCAGTTTCTATGTTTGTAAATGGAGATTGGTATCCACCTGGAAGAATTGTTCAAGACTTAAATTGTTCCCAGTGGCTCAGGATAAGTGCTCAGGAAATATTCGTTATTAATTGTCAGAGTTGCCATACTCTCCCCTTACTGACCAGGAGTGGGATGACCAGCTTGATTTATTTTACCCAATAAATGTCTCACCTTCCTCTACACTACAGGTCCTTTGAAAGGGCCTTCAATACAGATGTATAATAAACACCCAGACAGGGTTCACGTATAGGCCTAGACTCCCATTTTTTAATTTAAATTTATTTTAACTGAGGCACAAAAGAATAAAAATTGCACATATTTATGGGGTACCATGTGATGTTCTCAGACATGTATAAATTATGCAATGTTTGAACCGGGGTAAACATTTCTATCTCCTCAAACATTTCTCATTTCTTTGCGGCGAAAGCATTCAAAATCCTTTCTTGTAGCTTTTTGAAATACATAGTACATTGTTGTTATCTATAGTCACCCTACTGTACAATAGTACCCCAGAGCTTTTTGCTTCTAACTCTAGACTCCCATTTTCAAAGTGGGTTTGATTTTATAATTGGGATAATGCTTCAATGCACACACTATATTCCCTTGGTGCTAATAAATCTATAAAAAGGTTATATTTCTGCCCTGCATCTATAAATCTCTTCCTAGTAATAGGTTTTCCCTGATTTACCTTCCCAAGTAAATCTCATTTTTCAGAAAAGAAATGATGTAAATGTTTAACATATGTGATAGATTTTTACAGGATGGTCATCCGTGGACCCTACCTCCCACTCCTACATATCTGGCTAGTGCCTCCCACCCCACTGACTCTGGGCTCGGCCACGTGACTTGTTTTGACTGATGGGACATTAGCAAATTTGACAGAAGCAGAGGCTTAACATATACTTGCCAACTGGGCATGGTGCTCTCATATCGCTTAGAACTTTTCTGGCATCCTGTGAAGAAACCCAAGCCATCCTGCTGGAGCACTGACCTCGCCAACAGCCAGCACCAACCCCCGCATGTGAGAGGCCACCCTGCCCTGCCCAACGCTGTCCGAGTTGCCAGATCACTGCAGCCACATGAGTGGCTGTGGGGAAACCAGCCTCAGAAGAGAGCAGCCGAGTCCAGCCCCAACTGCTGACCTACACAGTAATGAACTAACAAAATGGTGTTTGTTTTTAAGTTACTAAGTGCTGGGTGATTTGTTAAAGCAATAGATACGTGATATAAAATTTATAGATGCAAGGCTGTCATTTCATCCTCCTCTTGTCTGTGTTTCTAGCAAAGGCATTTACTGCATAGTAAAAAGATGGAGATTCATTTGTGGCAAATCCAGAAAGCCCATTTATTCATTTAAGTTGATTTTGGATATATAAAAACAGAAGTGAGGCCTGAGCAGTTTTCAAAACATGTAGCAACAGAATCTTCACCTGAGCAAAGTGAGAAGTTCTGAATGGCAGGAGGGAGATTTGCTGGCAGCAAGGCCAGGCCCTGCTCCTGGGAATAACTCCCTGACGTCATCCTGTGCTGCGCAGCACTGGTTCCTCCTCCTGACACTTAGCATGCATGACTGCACAGACATTTTCAGCGGTTTTTAAAGAACATAGATTTTCGTCTGGCAAATGGAGGCAGCCAAGTGGTTAATAAAATCTGAGGGACACAGTTGAGGAAGGTGACTGCATAACTTATGTTCATGACAAGAAAGTGAATGGGGAAATAATGTTCAAAGAGTCCGAAGGACTCAGGATAATGACAAACACAGAAATGGATGTATTCGAAGCAGAGAGATAGTAGTGAAGTCTCCAACTTCTATGTGTCTTAGCCCATCATCCGGGTAAAAAACAAACTGTCACTACTCAACTTTTCCAAGCAAAACAAGCATATTTAGAAGGGAGGTGAGCTCTTAAGGTGACACCAAAATTGTCAGGATTGTGCATGAGGGAGACAGAGATGTAAACTGAAATTTTCAGCATTTGGCAAAGAGGCCCAGACGCCATTAAAAGTTTCTCCCAGGAATCTGAATGAAATATTTGTGAAATACTTTGTTCTGGAGGAGAAGACACTGCAGGGATTTGAACTGATGCTGGCAGTAACAGGGCAGATAACAGGAGATAAAAGTAGAGACACAAATGGAGGAAACAGTTGGCTTCCTCGTTCAGCTGTGCTCAATCAATCATAAACTAATTTTTTGGTTCCCTTAATGGGGATTCCTCCTTGAGATGAGCAAAGTCTCCCTGGAGGCTAAAAAAAAAAAAAAAAAAGCTGTTGTTAAAAATTCAATTTAAATAACTACAAAAAGGAGCAAGACCCCTACTGTTTGCCAGGGTTTACTGTTCCTTCCTATGACATCTACCTCCGCTGGGCTCAGAGACAGCCACCCCTCCTCTCCACACAGCCCAGGTGCTTGGAGTGAACCACTGGCTCCCAGGGCTGAGCATGAGACCTATGTTAAATCATCTGCACCGCTAAGGACGGCCACGTGACCCCACTAGAGCCAATGAAATGCCACCGGCCTCTGGACTGCAGCAGGCACTTCTGCTCAACCACAGGCACAGGGCTGGCGCCACCATTTTCCTCTGTGTATACTTAGATTCTGGGATGGAAGCCAAAAAATGGTGGAAGACAGCCATATAAGGTGGGACGTTATTGGAGCTCTGCATCCAGCCACATCTGCAATCATGATTACCCCCTGGATTCATCATTTACATAGACCAATAAATTCCATTTTTGCTTAAGTCACTTTGTATTAGGTTTGCTGTCACTTGCTACCGAGAGAATACTGATTAAGCATCCTGCACTGGATTTTTCCTCTATAAAAATGGGGAAATTCTGCTAGAAGATAACATCTATCTGTAACCTATAATTCCTATTTTAGGAAAAGAATAGGGGAAGAGGAGCCTTCTAATGTTTTCCGTGCTTAAGATAAACTACCTCTCATGCTTGTAATCAATACAAGGGAATTTATTGAGTGCCTATTGTACCTTAAGCACATGTTATATCTTCCTTTCTGCATCATCAAGGAGGGTAAATGTATATAATCACACTGAATGCCATTTGCGTCATGGGTAGAAATGTGCCCTTGAATGTGCTGTTGCTGTAGTGATCAGAGTCTAGTAGCAGAAAAAGCAATTAAAGGGAGAAAAGTGCATTATCACCTTTTAAGTAGCATTTGTTGGACCTGTGTAAACATAGTCTATACTTTTTATAAATATTGCCCAATACTGTGTTTTTAACTAGAGTTATGCAGGCATAAAATATCCTTGGCTTGCAAATTTTCTATTAGCTTAGGCATACTGGGAATGCTTAACAGCAATGAAGTGCTGAAAATGCCAAAGAAATTAATGGCTTTGTGCTGTCCTACTGAAACATGGCCACTAATATTTAAAATTCCATGTCCCAGGACATCACTCATATCTGCTGACTGAAGCTGAAAGTCCTAAAATTTGCTGGTGAATCAAACAATTTATAAAGACTTTCTCTGTTGGGTTTTATTTTCCTCTCTCCACCCCAACCCCATTCTTTCCCCTTACCTTACCCCTAGATTCTTGGGATTGAGAATATTATTGATAGGAAATCAGAAAAGGATTGTGTGTGTGTGTGTGTGTGTGTGTGTGTGTGTGCACGCGTGTATGAAATAGGTTCTGATTTATCAGCATGAATTTCATGATTCTAAGGTAAAAAGACCAAATGTACTAAAATATCCATGTCTCATTTTAAATATGCTACTCAACATTGATTGACCATTGTTTTCAGAGTTTTGAGAGGAGCTTCATAGGCCATATGCAAGGATTATTCAGTATAGGCCAATGTCATGTGAGAGAAATGTGCTCTGAGGCTCCCTCATTTCCACTGTCCCTCACATGACATATGTCAGAGAAGGCGGAGGGTCTGTACCAAACAGGTGTGGCACTGATCTCCCTGGGCACCCTCACTGTGTCTTTTATACAATCGTATCACTAAAAGCTCCATGCATTGTACTCTTTGCCACAAAAATAAGGGCATGCTTTTACATGTGGATGTAATTAATTCATGTACTGCTTGCATGCTTACCCTATATGGCCATTTTATTCCTCCACAAACATTTGTAAAGTTCCCACCATGAGCCAGGCCCTGAGATAAGCTTTAGAAATATTTACCTGCTACTCAATATCTCCTTATCAATGCTCCCCAAATACTTTTAATGTATCTTATCAGCCACGAGACTATGTATTCAGAGATGGGTCTTCTCCTTTAATTTAGAACACAGGATGCTAATAACAGTGTGGTACCCGTCAGCAAGAAACTCACCCAGCTGGAACAACCGCCCATAAATCTCATATTTCAAGTGATTCCTCCAACATTAAAGAGATTGGGAAATTGTGTTGAAGATGAAATGGACAATGAGTTTCTGTCTGGTAGCAGTGAAAATGGTTATCGCTGACCCTTTTCTGTCTTTGAATTACTGCTTAGCTTTCTGTCTGGACATATGGAAAGAAGAAATCTTTGGGGAATGTTGCCAGATAAAGCTGGCTTACCTTGGATTCCTGAACGGATGCTATGTCTAAGAATAGACTCCGAGGGGAGATGCAAGAGAGCTGAGTGGAATCATAAGAACTGGGCATTTTGTTCACTTTTTCCAGTAACTCCTTTGATTCAAGAAGGGAAGAAAGTTATGGCATAAAGCCATACAGAATGAATAGTAAAGAGCACTGGAGCGATGATAAGCACTTCTGAGAAAGCTCTATTAATAGAAGAATGTAAGGAATGAGATGGTCAGATCATGTCCTTCCACCAAAACATCAAGACAGGACACTGGTCTGCTGGTTTATGAGAGACAGAGACAGGAAATTTGGAATTCTAATCTTACCTTGGAATGCTGATTCCATCATAGCCAAGGTCATTTCTTTTTACTGCCATGCCTCTTTTCCCACATCTATAAAAAGGACTTAATCAAAGGTGTTGCTGCAGTTTAATTAGTTAGTACTGTTCAGGGCTTTGAAGATGCAAAGATTATAAATATCCACAGTTAAAAGTCCTCTTTTAAGAAATATAGGTTAAAGTTAAGAGTTAACGAATCGTATTGTGCCCAGAATAGCTCAGGGAAAATGAAGGTGGCTTAGTTTTGACAGGGAATTTTCCCTGACATCGCTCAGATTTGGCAGCTGGCAGGGAAATGATAGGACTCTCCTCCTGGTCCTTGTAGGATTTTTTTTTTTTTTTTTTTTTCATTGAGAGGAACACAAAGGAAATAGTTTGTCTCCATCAAGTTCAGGAAATCTACAGAAAAATAAAAAACAGATTCACATATCATTCATAGCACTCTTTCCCCGCCCCAGTATAATTTGGCCATGAATTCAAAGCAAAATTAAAGAGAGAGCGCTCCAGGGCCTTTCCAGCCACAATACAAAGTATAGCTTTCCTCCCGTCCCAGTGTTATGTGCGGGATCGTTAAACAGACATTGGAGAGGGAGAGTAGTGGAAGCGACTTTGGTGTTGCCTGACCTGGCTCCAGGAGAACTTCAACATTTTCTAGCTGTGTGACCCTGGCCGGCTGGCTCTTCCTCTTGGAACCCTGGCTTCTTCCTCTGTGGAGTGGTGATCATTCCTGTCTCCTTAGATGATGACAAGAAACTGAAGTAATTGGTGTGAAGTGCCTGGATGAGGGCTCCCCCGTCACTTTTCACAGTTATTTCCATCCTATTTCTCTTCTTCCTTCACCCTAGATTTTCTTTCTCATAAACTTCCTAAATATCAACACACTGAGTTCTTGTTTTCCACACAGAGGTATTGGGACTGTTCTGTTTACTTTCCTTGTTTCCCCTGGAGAATCATACGAGCTGATTCCCACCATGAAACGGAGCAGTCCAGGGGAAGAAGCACTATTTTGGTGTTGCCTGACCTGGCTCCAGGAGAACTTCAACATTTCAACACCAAGGTTGCCTCAGAGGGAAGTTCAAGTGAGAGAAGAAAGAAAGAAAAAGAGAGGGGGAGGGAAGGAGAGAGAGAAAGGAGAGGAGAGGAGGGGAGGGAAGAGGAAGGGAAAAGAAGGGAGAAAAGAAAGAAAGAGACAGAAGGAGAAAGAGAGACGGGAGGGGAAGGAAAGGAAGGGGAGGAAAAGAAAGAAGAGAAGAGAGAGAAAGAAGAGAAGAGAAGAGAAGAGAGAGAAGAGAAGAGAAGAGAAGAGAAGGAACTTATATTATTATTATTTTTTAATTCCCATGCAGCTGTCTTTCTTTTCCACTGTCTTGCCGCTGACATCCTGATTTGCATTCCTGAGGGTAGCTGTCTCAGAGCGTTTTTGACTGTGCAGGGAGAGTCTGGGACTACCTGATTCTGTATGTGCTCTGTAGACTATTTCTCCCTCAGTGTGAAGGAGGCCAAACAGGCACTCGGGGACACTTTTGTGAGGTGGCATCATGTTCCCAAAGATTCCACCCAAAGTCCTCACTGACATACAGATATATATTCTTAGAATGGTTAGGGCTGGAGACAGGGAGTTTAGAGCTTATGTAGTTGTTCCTCTGCCCTGTATTTTACTGATACAGACATTGAGTGCTGGGCTCCCTTGAGATGTACACATAAAATAGGTCAGAATCACCCACCAGGTAGGTAAATATCACTCAGCTGTCTACCCAGTCATGAGCCAATCCATCAATATCTGAACACTGCTATGGGAAAATATTACCAGGATTTAAAGTTACAGTTATCTGGATGTCCAAAAAGCATAAAAAGAATAATCAACACATGAAATTTTTTAAAACCTTCAAATTGGAGAAAGCTGATTAGATGGATCATAGAGGTGTAAAAAGATGGATGGGACCAGTATGTCAGGGAAGGATGGCAGTGTCTAACAGCTGGACAACTGAGAGTTTCTCACGTGGAACAGGCATGGCTTTGTTGGTCTCCCTTCCCTTCTCCTGACTCTTTTCCTTACTGTTATGAGTACGGTGAGCATTGGCATCTTTGAGTACAGAGGGCAAAGGTATGAAATGAATTATATAATTTCATACTCTCAATATAGTCTTGGTGTTTGGCCATACAAATGTGTGTGTGTGTGTGTGTGTGGTGAACCTGCTGCAACTTCTTAAATAGGGGAATTAATTTTAGAAGGACAAGGAAACGCTGACATCTTTGATACCAGATTACCTATATGAGCTACGGGCTACATGCAGGACTGAAAAAATAAGCAAGCAAGGGCAATTCCACACTGCCA